GCGGGGGGGGTTATCTGGGTTTAACACCCCCAAGGGCAACTCTTTGAGAAACGTGAAGGGTCCAAACCTTCTTTTCCCAGGTAAGGAAAAGAAAACCTTGGAGCGGGGGCAGGAGAACCCAGTAAAATGACTTGGTTGCAGGCAAAGCACAACCAAGAATCCAGGTTCTCTAACTCTAACTTAGCAGTGAAGTGAGTAATAAAAATAAAACTTAAGGAAATACTTGTGAATGGCGGGTTTATAGTTTGAAATGTCTCTCTCCCTCTCTCATGACTCCTCATTGTTGTCTTTTCCCCAACCACAGGGGCCATAACAACCACCTTTGTTTCTTTTGTGTAATGAAGGTTTGGGTGATTTTTTTCTTCTTTTTTTTCCATTTTTTCCCTAAGTAAACAGGTATTACTTTCATAACTAGAAAAAAGAGAATTGTTAGTTTTAAACTCCACCAAAAATGCAAACCCTTTCTCATTCTCAGAACGAGCCAAGCCAGGCCTTTAGAATCAGACCCGCTTGGGTTCAGATCCCAGTTCTGCCATTTATTGGTTTTTAATAAACCAGGTTCAATTTCTTCAGCTGCTAAAAAAAATTACATATTTTACCAAAAAAAAAAAAAAATCATCTTCCTATACAAAAATGTTTAGTGAGAAAAGTGGCATTCTTTCATCATTTTTGTGTTTATTAATATCTTGCTTAATAGAAGACTCTTGTTTCTGCTTCTGCATTCAGTCTGTGGGGATATCGTAAATCACGTAGTCCCTGGAAAACTCCAGGGTATACAGGTGAGAGAATGAGAGTGAAAGGTAAAATAACATCTCAGTATTTTAAAAATCACTTTGGCCTCACTGATTCCCAGGGTTCCCAAGACAATACTTTGAGAATGATGGATGTAGATTCATAATAAGAGCTTTCACATAGAATAATTCTACTAAACCTCACAACAAGATTTTAAAGTGACTTCTCTTCTCCCTGTTATATAGCCAGGGAAACTGAGGCTTAGAGAGGATGCAGCTAAGTAATGGGATTCAAGCCCAGGTGCTCTGCTAACAAACTCAACTCAACCCTGGCTGCTCCCCATATTTCTGTCGCTAATAGGAAAAGTCAGACCGCTCTTTTTCTCAGTAGGTTCCTCTTCGACCCTAGTTACATAAACCACATCTGGGGATGGATTGCATCTTCAAATCATTCCTGGAGTAGGGGAAAAGTGAATGCATTCAAGAGTTAGCAGTGGCCATTATTCTTTCTCTCCCACATGACTTTCCTAAAATAAAAGTTGCTTTGCTTTTTTCTTTCTGATTGCACTACATTGAACGATGGTTTTTCACGAAAGAATAATGACAGGATCAGAAAGTTGTTCATCTGATGATCCAGCCCACCACAGAGAGGTGATTCAGGATGTTAGACTAAAATAACATCATCCGTTTTTGTTGTCTTGCTTGCTAACTCTGAAATCTGTTGCATTTTTAAATGTCTGTTTTTCTACCCTCTTAGAGAAGCGGTCAGCAATTTTCTCACTGCCCTCAGTCTGCAGAGAAAGAGCCGGAACCAACAGCAAGTTCCTCACCCTGCCATCTCCGGGAACATCTGGGCTGCCCTCAGAATCGCACTTTCTCTGATGGACCAACCGGAGCTCTTCCAGGCGGCTAACCTCGGGGACCTGGATGTCCTCCTGAGAGCTTTCAACTTGGATCCTTGAAGGAAAAGAGAGAAAGAATCAACAATAATCCCTGTCTGTATATGTGTACTGAGAAATGCAAACCTATTTTATTATGAATTCCAAAAAGATGAAACCAGATGTTCAAAAGGCCATGGTGATAAAAGCTGAGGGAATTCTTACAGACAACGCCCAGTCTCTGTTCAGACCAAAAGCACAAAATGTTATATAGAGAGTCAAGGTCGGGCTCAAAAGACGTATCAAGAGGCTCAAGACAAACCAAGATAGAGTAGCTATGTGAATATTCTTTCCACAAGCCGCAAGCCCATCGCAAGACATCTTCGGGTTTTGGTCCCCACTTGCGGCTGATGACACATCTAAGGAACTTGCTCGTGGAACACCTGGAGGAAGCACTGCCTCAGATCGGGGAATTCTGACACTTTCTAAACTATCCCCTGAAATGCTCCCTTTTAGAAGATTGAACATAGTTTGGGCCAAGGTGCATGCACAAATATTAACTCGACTAAAGAGAGGCATTGCTTAAACCTTTCCGATTTTAACTTCTACTGTAGCTCTTTGATTCCAGGGAAGGAGCTTTGCTGGCAAAAGCAGTTTTTGCACTAGAAATTTTTTGCTGTTCCCAATCAAAACTTTTCTGGGACTGTATATATGCACTTTAATATCTTATTTATGCCTTGCTGGAGTTTTGTTTTGTTGCTCCAATTTTTAACTTGGGGGTAAAGGATTTGAGAACTCAGCCTTGTTAGATCAATGGACCAAATAAAAATTCCTGAAAATAGTTTTTCACAGTGTAGGGTTTTGAAGCAGTGTTTTTCTTAATGCAGATATACCTAGGGTATAAATATGCAAACACAGGTCTTACTCACGTGCTGTCTGGAACTGTATGAACTTAAGAGATAAGACACTGTCTCTCCATGCGTCCTCTGCAGGGCCAAAGTCTGATGATGTCGTGATTTCTATTGAGTTAACATTAATTTGCTTAAATGTCATATTTTACTTGCTTACTAACTGCCTTGCACCTGATATTCCTTTTAAATTGTTAATATTTTAAAGAGTATTTCTTAAGAGTGATAAATACATTTTTCCTAAAAACTGTGTTTTTCTTAGTTCCATAATAATCTGCATTGCTCACCCTTCTGCTCCTGCGTGGTAAAGATTGGCAGTCTCGAGCTGAACCTTCCCGAATGTCAGAGGTTTCGTGTGAAAGACGTGCGCCCCTTTGGCTCCCGTTTGGAACATTTATCGAGTGCCAGGGCCTACTGACAGTGGTGTTTTATTTCAGTGGTTGCATTCCACTCCTTTCTTCAGAATGTTTTGTGCTTGTTGGGGTTCTCTGTGATTATTTGGACAGACATCATTTTTTAAAGGATTAGAAAAATTATTTTCAAAATGCTAACCAAGTATAATTTTACCAACCGCCCAGTTCTGGTAATTTGTCCTAGTAAGTGTCCCATTCTTAGTTTTTCTCCTTCTTTCCTCCAGAATCTTCCCCACAGCAATCTGATCGCAGCTTTTCTTCATGTTTTTTGGTTAGTAGTAGCTGGTTATAGTTACCAAGATTACAGTTACCAAGAAAAACAGCATTTGGGTCAGAACAGTTCAGCTGACCGGGGAGTTAGCTTCTGCTGTGAGGGAGGGGATGTGCACACACCGAACTCGACGTGAGGGTAGAAGGTGCCTCCTCTGCTACATTCGAGGGCCTGGCATAGGAGGGGCCTCGGGTAAACATGAAACTACAATCCTCGAGGCTTACATATGTGTTTTATAAACTAGAACAGGTTATAATATGTAACCTGTTCTAGTTTATAAAGACAAAGAGTCGAGAGCACTGGGGTGGAAGCGTCACTATTCCTGTCGAAGCTCACGTGGGCGAGGGGATGCCCCCAGCTGGACAGCAGGAGGCGGAGGCTTTGAGGCGTTCCCACTGGCAGCAGGGACAGCCCAGTCTTGACCTACTTCCCTGCAGGCTCGGAAGAAAAGTAAAGCTCAGCAAGGTTTTCAAGAATGGTATTCTCCAGAATTTTCGAATCCTAGAAACTCGGCCTGGGAAGGACTCTTGGGTCCAGCCTGCCACCCATGGGAGCTTCCTGTGGAGTATCCGACAGAACAGACCCCTTCTGGACGTGCTCCTCCCTACCCTGTGCATTCCCGCGAGCAGCTGACTGGCATCGTCATAGGCCGTTAGGAGCCTCTAAACAAAGGATTCACAGCAACTTTCACAAATGTTCTGTTTATGACGCCCTTCTACAGTTTCAACAGTAACTGAATTTGCAATAACAATAGTTGGTTTTCTTAGCTTTGCCACCACTACATACATGAGATCGGTAACAGTGTAAAGCCTGACAGTTGAGTAAATGTGCAATATTTTCACTTAACTTGATTGTTGCTAAGTGGTGGCAGATTTGGGGCCCCAGTTCTATTTTGCTATTTGAATACAAAGCGACTTCAAACTCCAAGGAATTGTTTTCAAGGAGAGTAAACAATTTTCCATTCCCATCATAATTTGGTAATTTGCAGAGCGTTTGGTAGGACTTTCTCCATTATATCTAGTGTCCATTATATCTTGGTCCATCAGAACCAAGATTTTCATAAGCTATTCCCTGTCAGGAAGTGAGGAATTATTGCCCAAGACATTTTTTTCATAGTATTTTTAATAAAATTAAGTTAAAACAGTTACTAAAAAGCAAGTGAAAGTTTCTAGAAATCAGAGCACCGCCAAAAATTAAGTAGCAAGATTTTAGAAGTCTTTATTGTGTACATCTTTTTTTAAAGTGTATACACATTTTTTAAAAGGCAAAACTTTTTGGTATCTTATCGCCATGACATAAAATTGTCATTTATATTACTCTTTCCATTTGGAAGGGTGGGATGACCTTGGTTCCCTCTGAGGCACTCTGGGAAGGCTTTGAGTTTCTTTTCTCTTGTTTTACTGAGTAACAGCCCACGACCTCTTAGAGGATGGTACAATTTTACAAGAGTGTCCACTCAATTGCATAGATGTGACTTTCAAGGACCAATTGCACCAGGAGATTGGGTACAAAATCAGAGGCGGCCAGTGATCATTGCTGAATTTCAAAATATATTATAACTATGTCCAGTGGGCTATTTCTCTGTGCTGCTAGGCCTTACTTAATATGAGGAGGAGTTGGAGGGTTCAGGAGAGAAGGGAAGGAGCAAAGTTCCCATTTACTGGACTGATCCTATTGAGTCATCACTGGCTTTCTCCCTAGACCGCTCCCCACGACTCCCTGAAAGAAAGGCAGCTCGTGTCCACCAGGAAACTTTCAGAGAGAGCTGTGAGCTGTGCTTTCTCAGCCCATCTGCGTTTCAACTAAAACTGAAAATTAATGATTCTTAACTGGGTTGGAATGTCCGGGAGACACGCACTTCCAGTTTTATGCCATTCCCTCCCTCTCCTCCTTTAAAGAGAGCTATCGCGTTGAATCTTGGGGCCATGTCTAGATACTCGTACTAGATAAGTCTTTCTAGTATATTCTTGCTATGCAAGCAAGAGTTAAACACAATTGTACTAGTCCCACTTGTAGCAGGAGCTCCCAAACTACTTCCCATAAACTTCATGAGCTCCTTGGGAACATAAAGCAGTTCCTCCTTCGCTCGTCCTTGAATCAGTTCCACAGAACTGGGCTCTTCTGTCACGTAGCTGCTGTTGTTTTAGACCTTGAAATGCTTCTAGAAGCGTTCTAGATACAGGGTATTCTGAAGGCTTAATTCGTGTGCCATCTTTTCCTCGTCTCCTATTTTAGAAATTATTACACAGGCACACACATTAACTTTCTAAAATAATTTCAAATTCTTCCCCTCTCCGGATTTTACCACAGTTTCTCTGTCTTCTCAGTAGTGATAGAACTGGNCAGTTTCTCTGTCTTCTCAGTAGTCATAGAACTGGTTGAACTATACATTGTTTTGAACTAAGAAGTACTTTTTTTTTTTTAAGAGTGCTCAGAGATGAACTCTGGCATAAGGTTTGTAAAAAGGCAATTTTTAAAAAGTAAAACATATAACCTCAGGTGCAAAAATAACGCATGCACTAATACTTGCAAATCTGCCTACTCGAATATTAACCAAAGCATGCAAGATAATACTGACCGTGAACCTGCCAGTGCATGATAAGTCTCTTAGGTTAGCTCGTGTTTCCTTCTGAACAGGGAAGCATCCTCATGGACCTTGTGTACAGTCCTATTTGCTTTTATCATCCTGTCCCTGAGAGTGTCTCCTGCCGTGGCACTGAACGTGGCCGAGCCTCAGGTGTCTGGTTCATGTGGCGCTGCAGCCAGGGCCGAACTAATTCTCCGGCCCGCAGAGGCGCCGCCGATCTAAAACTTAGGCCAAGTCCCCAGATCTGAAGGTGGTGCCGATTGCTTTCGCTCAGCTTTGGGTTCTAAATGCTGAAGAGTGCATTTCAAATATTTTCTAAAAGTTTAGGAGTAAATGAGAAATACCAACATTCTAAATAAGGGGGAGGTCAGGGTACATGAAAAGCATTATACGGCAAAGTGAACACGGGGCCTTTCTATCCACAGTGTCACGCAGCGAGTGTGTGGCCCCATGTGGATGGCAGGTGAGCTACTTGGATCCATACCCTTGAGGAGCTGCACCTGGTCAATGTGTCTAAAAATGCTGAAAACTCGGGGGTCACGAGGTGACTTCACAGTCACTCAGACCAACTCAGAAGTCCTCTCACGGCCTCTTTCTATAGCCCCTGCTTCGTGGGGAAACAGGGCCAGGGGACCAGAAACGGAGGGAGCAAAGGCCGGCGAGGCAGGAGGAGCTCTTACATGGGAACAGCTCGGTCACCCCTTCACGCCCCGCCACGCCCCACACACCTTCCTGTGAGCTCCCACGGTGCTCCCCAAACACCCAGTGAGGACCCCTGTGCAGAGACGCCCGAAACTTAGGAGAGAAAAAGGCAAAGGGCGAGGTTCGGCAAACGCACACGCAGCATTTGCCCTGAATGAAGTTTCCACTACTTGCAGCCTCTGCAGAAAGCCCAAAGTAACCCGCTCTCGGGACAGGCGCCCCATCTCAGGGCTGTTTTCTCAGGACCTTCTGTCCAAGAGGAAACTGGCCTGCGATGTGGCCAATGTCATAGCAGAGCCCTGACAGGCTCGGGGGGACCCTTCCCTTAGAAACCTGCACTCGGAATAATACAGACATGGGGAAAAGGACAGTTTGCTCAACAACAGAAGTGCTCTTTTTATTTGAGGATCTTGGAGAGGAAAATGGTGTGACGCCACAAGGAGTAAGGGATCGACACCCTCGAGGTCATTCGTCATTTTCACTGAGGTACAGGAAATGTTTGCGTAGACACCACAAGGGAACTGAGCCGTGTGAGGAAAATGTTCATGACTGAAAATGTTACCTGTAGCTAAAGGAAATACAGCAAACCTGAATTTATACCAATTTCCTTTCAATTTTCCCCCATATCATCTAACCCAAACCCTCTTCAATTTTCATTGCCCAAATTTGTTTACATTGGTTGACAGAAAAAGAACCTGATTAATTTAGTAAACTTTTTACAAACTATAACAAGCATTTAACTATTTAGAAAAGACATTTCTATATATTTTGTATATCTATGAATACTGTATATCTAGTCTAACCTAAAAACATTGTTTTGAGACAAATTCTTCTGTGATGCTTCCTTATTTATTATGCTCAAGAATGTTTAAAATCTTGGGATTTCATTTTTAAGCTAAAATAAATAACAAAGAGAAATTTAACTTTAAATGTTTACACTGAATTTCTAAATTAACACCAACCCAAATTAAGT